AAAATACTCTATTATAAGGATCACATAACATAAAAAAATATATGACACTAACTGTTTCGAAATACTTGAATGACTAACGAAATAGGTACAAAAAAATGGGGTGTATCGTATCGTATTTAAAATTAGCACATATCCAGTTCTGTCGTCCATTTTTGATTGATTGATTCTCTAAAACAAACTCTAAAAATACCCACGGGTTGATCCCATCCCACAATATTGTACCGGAATACACTATTCTCTATAATTCTCGGCTAGATAGACACTGGGGGCGGATCTAAGCCCTTCTTATCTGGTATCGGCACGAACTATATTACATTTACTTTAACCCGACGAAAAACATTAACTCCACAACCCAAACTGTGAGGTTTTTGGAAGAGAGTTTTCGGCTCTCAACTTATGATAAGGAAATGTCTAATAATATGTAAAAAAAAATTAACTAATGTTATTTTCGACTACAAATTTGTCACGGTGGATGGACTACCGGCACCCTGTGCAACGTGTCGCGAGTTCGATTGCCGAAAGGAACAACTCCTTGTGTGGTCAAAAAAAAAATGTTTTGGATCTGGGAGTGATTTTCTATGTTTGTAGACGCACCCACGGCTGACACAACATTAAAAATAGGATAGTTGTACGTTATTAAATCGTTTAAATTAAAATCACAAGTCCCAACCTAAATATATATTTTTTTTCGGTACCAGTCACGGGTATCTATCAGTATTTTCCACATTTGTGTATACAAATAAATACATAGTTGGTTTCGCTCCACCGGTTTCTAATAACCAAGTTTTTGTGAAAAAATACTTTTATAACACGGTAAAACATGTCATATGACACAAATAACATTATAGCGAAAAAATTTCATATTTTTTGCAAAAAATAAATTACATTTTATCTATGTAAACAGTTTTTTTTAGGTACATGTATCCTTGAAAGTACAGATGTGAAAAAAAAAATATAGTTACACTTTGGAACCCGGATTTTAAGTATGTAAGTACTTGTACATGGGTCAACAATAATATTGTGTAAATAATAGATTACATAGTCAACAGGTAAATACTCATAACAAAAAGTCTACATAGTACCTACATAATAACGATTCGTATAAATGCATCAAAGATCACACATCTTTGGAAATAGATCTCAATTGTGTTAAACACACAATTATATATATATATCCAAATATCTCCTTTAAATTTCGTTGACTTCTACAAACCATGTAAAAAAGGACAAAAAATGGGCTAAGATAACGTAGCTTTTAGACCTCTCAATTGTCATGTTTCTCCCAAATCTCTAAAAACAGAGAAGAAAGTTGAAAAGTTGCGCGAGCGTGGTCCTTTTACTCCCATTTCGCATAGTAACAAAAGCAAAACCGCGTTCCACATGTGAAACAGCTGAATAAACACAAGAATAATATGTTCTGATAGGAACGATGTTTCAATACTGAAGGGATATAGCCCGTATCTGAAAGGTTGTGGAGCGATGGGCTGATGTGGCCGGCCATTTGTCTTGGAAGCGCACTTTGACTGGGAATTAGGTCACTCAGAGGCCTCATACTTGATTAGTCGATACTAGAAGCGACACGGAAAACCTGCATGCTAAATTGAGAACTTCCTCAATTGAGAACATAAAATATACAATAAAGGTCTACATAAATTCAATGCAAGAAGCGTGGGAGAGGTAATAACAACATTGTTTTACTAACTCAGATAATAGCAGAATAATGTTCCGCGGCTTGAATCAGGAGAAAGAACGGGCGTTTTTCGTCAGTAAAAGTCTATGACTACCATTTCTTTTTTCAAAAAGTAGGTATAACAGATGAATAGCAAATCATTTACGAACCGAGGGTGACCACTTCAGATTCTTTTAAAAATTGGCAGACTACAATATTTTTCGAATTTAAAAGACCTTGTACGAAGTTGCATACTACCATCAAGACCGACACATCTTAATTTTCTAGTTTACACTGGAAGTAAACCTCTTCTATGAACAAGACATCTATGGTAGTTTCAGTATTTAATGAGCGTACCCTGATTCAGCGTTTATCATCACCGACAGTTAATAGTCGCCGCGAGCATATTGATTTATTCCAAGCATGCTTAACGCAACTGGGGCGAGAAAAATATATTCCGCAGTCTTCTAGAATAATCTTTTTATTAGTACGAGTATAAAGGTAAATGAACAAAGTTACGGCGGTTTATTAAAACTTGACGTTATCAGGATGACCTGTAAGTTTCCTTTAATTGACTTTCCGAGGATACTTAATTAAGAGCCAGAGGGAAAAAGGATAACTTTGAAGGGCGAATGGAGGTTGTTTTGTGTCGTGCTTGCTACTGTAGTTAAGGCACCTCTAGAAATATGTATATTGACTCTTCCATTCGTAGAATAGATTCGTAATTTCCTCATTTTCCAATGTTATTTGTATGTATGTATTGTCTTAAAAGATTATCGCTTATGTTTTCAAACAAATCGAACCTTCCGTGTTAGTTTTCAAGTAATGCTTATTAAAGTCGACAGGATCTCAAGAAAATCATGTTCAACTTAACTTCGTAACACAAACGTTACGAGAAGGAGATCCGACGAAACTTAATTACACGAGCTGACTAATGCGTCCAGTATAACAAGATCTGCATCGTGAACAATCTGTCTTTGAAATTGTTGTTTATGAAAACAGTGTGGCGTGACATCGGGGTCATCTTAAAGTGGTGGTGGAAGATGGATGAAGGCAGAGAGTCAACAAAGGGTGAAATGTAGCCAAGGATCGGTGTCCGGTGAGGTGACATGCGATAATGCATGTTTTAAAGTGGGTGCTGTTATAAATGGGTTGTGCGGACAAGTGATTTATACGTTTTTCCTGTATCTATTGACTTTTGTTTTATTTATTTTTAAAATAGTTTTCTTAGTTCTAGTAACTTTTCCACTTTAATTCGGAGTGTAAAAATCAAGTGAGTCTGACACGAACCACGAGGTCTATGTCAGCTGCTATATTATGCTATTTGACATAGGTTTACTGATATAAAAGAACTAGAGTTTAGGATAAGTAAACGGACCTTGAAACCCGAAATATCATCATCATCATCCTTGTGCTCACTGCTGATCAAAGGACTCGCACACAGTTTGAGCATTAATCGCCACGCATGCTCAAAACTGTTTTCAAAGATTCTAATAAGACATTTTAAGTCCAGGCTTCCTCGCGATGGTTTTCCTTCACGTATGTCAGTGACACCTAAATAAACTTAGAAGGAACATCATTCATACTTTATGAGTTATTTTCCTTCTAAATTTCTTTTTGATACCTGATTCCTAGCCAGATTTTTAACCGGTATCCTCAAGCATGAGACGCAGCCGCACTAACCTCCATGCTATCACGAATACCGCGCGAAATATACAGCAACCGAATTATGGCGCTCAATCCAAACTAAACACACTACATTATAGTCACCCTGTCATTTCATTAGTGCTTATTTAGCGACGCACAGATGCGACCCGTCCCGAACCAAATTATGTGCATCGTATAACAGGCAGGCAACATACGGCATGGAGCCGGGCTATGAATACCATTTCCGCGTGCTTAATTAAAAGACGGGAGCGTCTAGTTACCTAATATAAAAAACCATATTATTATATTCTACATATGTAATGTAGAATATAATAATATGGTTTTTTTGTTTTCATACTTAGAAACACTTTACTAAAGGAATTAATTTGATTATCTGAACAAAGTGGTCCTAAAGGTTTGTTGACAAAACGTTCTGAAAAAATCTTCACTTAACAATATAATTAGTAAACAGGACATTTAACTCACAATATCCTTTAATTTTAAGTTTTAAAAACCTCTACAATTACTGCAAGTAGTTTCCACAAAACAGCATAATTTGAATACAACACTAATAGCTAAAAGTTTACACTATCTCCCGCGCCCAGCTTTGGTCAACATCAACGGACCTCTATTTAAATATGGTAATTCCAGTTTATATTCTCATTTGTTATCATTTACATTAATATGCTGGTATTAGGTAAAATATTAAACTTTTCATTAGCCGCTTTCCAACTAACTAGGATACTTTGAAATTCAGGCTTATACTAGTATAGGATTATCAACGTGACGATCCAATGAATTGACGAACCAATTGAGTGGACGCATAGTGCCTAATATTTTAGTTTAGAGACACAAATTTAGGGAAAAATAAATTCATTTTAAAATGAATAGTGTTACCTATATTTTACTTTGGATTTGGGTCAAAACATTGCTCACTAAGCTGGTACTCTAGTGTGCTGCCACTAGTTTTCGTCCATGTTTTTTGAAATAAAAACCGAATGACGAATGGTTTGCACTGTAAACCTACGCGGCTGTGTGGGTGCGATAATGCTATCTTTGATACTCTAGCATTTCTATGGAGAGAATTTTAAACTTTAGAGTTTCATTAGTACGTTTGTATATGTACATATTACTTTGGAATATTTTCAATGGACCTTCCACAAATCTTGCCATATTCTTTCAAGTTCTAAAAGATACTAAGTACGTAGACGTAGATAGTTGTTAAAATAAGGAGTTTTATGGCAACACAGATTTATTTAATGATTTTACAGCATGGTGTTCGTCGCGATCATACAATGAAGATCACAATGAGGAAATTTCTCAAGAAATTGAAAATGTTTGCTAAGGAATTCATTTCCGAAGTGCGCGTACTCCAGCAGCCGTGGAAGGTACACGTTTTCATTATGATCATAATCTCGACATCATGTCAAGTTCACGACGAAAATCATAGTCGAATATGAATCATAAAATGACGATCAAAAAATATTCGATGGTCATTTACTATTGCAAGCTAATTATTAGTAATGAAAGTAGTAGCTAGATTGGACTTAACACCTTGCAAGGCAAAAGTAGAAAAAAAAATTTATACGTTACAAATTATTTCCTCTTTTCAACCAAAAGGTTTGCTAGCCACAACTTTCACATGTAATAAATGATTCTATAAGTACTAGGTAAAATCACTCACCGTTTTATCAAGAAACCAGCTCGCAGGGAATATTAGAGGCACGTACGTGATCATATAAATAATGGAAGTCCACGACACTTGGTTGCCAGTCACACCGTAATAGTTCATCACTATATCCTGAATGATGGTGTACTGAGTCCATTGCATGGAATTCGATGCTGAGTAGATCACAAACATGCCGAGGATCAGCCATCGTTTCTTCTTCACATAGTAGTCTCTCCCTCTTGCAGCGATAGAGATATTGTCCATCACACTACCTATCAGGGAGTTCCTCCTCGACTCCTCTTCATCTAAGATTATCTTTGGAACCTCAGGTTCAGACGGGTTCAATAGCCCAGTTGCCTGCGACAAACTCTTCTTTGTCATTTTGATCTTTATAACTTTCTACTTTAGTCTTTTTTACACTAATGCACTATTTTTAAGACACTGTTGTAGGTTTCTTTTTAGGTATATAATCAGTCCATGTGGTCCCAGATTTGTTGTTACTATTTGATAAGCTTTCTTGTTAACTAATCCTCTGCCAGATTAGTCTAGTATCAGTCTTTTGTGAGGCCGCGCCGCTGCGTTTCTACCTGTTTAGATAAATAGGATGATAAAAGGGGTACTTTAAGATGTGCAGTATGTGTAAAGGGGACTACTTTTTTAATCTAGATAGTGCGAGTGTGGGATGCTAAATCCCTTGTGTCTATGTCTAAGCGCAGTTGCAGGATGTAAGATTTTTTTACTTAGAAAGTGATTTATCTTGAGAAGGTAACTTTGTCTTACCACCATAGCTAGAGAGGTATATGTTGGTTTAAAAAATCTGTAAATATAAGATGTAAGAGATAAATAGTAATTTTAAAAATCAATCACGCTAATATAGGTATGTGATAAAATCTTGATATGTAACGTCGTTATCACTATGCCAGATATATATTCAAGACAAAGAACTCAGGAGCGGCATCTAGCGGTTTCTGACATAACTAGGTACTAACAAATGAATAAGATAAAGTGCTCGTCAAATTATGTGCAGTTGCTCATAGTGACTCAAAAGATGGCGGCCGTAGCGCGATAGATTTCTGTGTAAGTGAAGTTTAGACAAATATAATAAATTATAATTAGTGCAAAGCTGTATTTAGAACACTAGATAAGATAAAAAGTTTAGACCTAGACCTACGCCAATCGATGATGAAAGTTATTTTAAAAAGGGAGACTCTTAATAATAGTTTGTTTATCAGTTAAAGAACTGGTAGTCCACCATACTTTTGCCAAACGTATTTTGCTTTATGTATGTAGGTTTTTATCTTGAGAGTTATGACGAGAAAGGAAACTATTACAATTGGAAATCTGAGATTTCTGGTCAGGTTGAAATAATGAAAGTTTCACTGTTGGATGTGAACTCTTTAATATTTATTTTGCAGATATGCATCAACTGTCCAAATTACTTACAACTGCTTAACTATCAAGGTTCAGGAGTACGCCCTGGTGATGTCAGTCGGATAGACAGCGGATTCTTAGTAATTGTTCTTGATTTTATCATTTAGGTAAGGGATCATAAGATAATTAGTTTCTATGAACATGGCTTGTTCTTTAATATTTTTCTAAGTCTACAATATCTCATTTACATCATAGTAACTATACTACGTATTGTATGTATAATACAAAGTAATTAAGCGGATTATCAACGAATACATAATATAAATACCTCTTTCTTAATTAATTGAGACACCACATTTAATACCTACCTGTATTTACACAAATTACTTACTACGGTAAAAAAAAATTATAATATTTTATTTGATTACTGTTTCAGTTGAAATCTGTAATGTCCATTTTATGAACACACCAATAAAATATTACTGAGGGCTGATTTTTTTATTGTCAGATAAATGTTATCTGAGGAATAAAATTGTAGCTGTCACTCTTATAAAAAATACTCAGTTTCAGTCAGTCAACGTGACTAATTTTAAATCTCGTTGGCTTTTTAGAATCTTATTATTTTTGTTTTACCATTTTGATAAAGTTTGGAATTTACGGACAGTTAGTGAGGATCTGGTGCTCAGTTGAAGTTACGTGGCACCTTGTTGATATTAATTTATTTAAGTATTTTTACAATAATAAACGATTATAAAAAAAATGAGTACAATATTTATGAGCGTATTCATGGAAAAGTCCATAAAAATGGAAACTAATTAAACGATTTTATAAAACTAGGTAGGTACTCTTGCGGCCTTAATTTGTAACTACTATTCATATTATTATATTTATATCCAAAAGTTACTCACTCTATAATTAGTTTTATGTATATCAAACACATTAATAAAACCCCGTAAAATTGAAAAGAAAACACGACAAAATTATATCACGAAAACCACTAAAACACACATGAACTTAAAATTAAATATCACTTAGTTTTCAAGTAAAAATACGACTTTACATACGTTAATATCTGTTAGTTATCCAATATAAACTGGTAAAATAAAACACGCATGGTTGAGTTAATAAGCAATGCAGATCGGATACATTTTATAAATGGCCGGCTAATGTAATAGTTCCACGATAAAAATGTGCTGCTGATAACGGCTGCAATGTCATGGATTACTTCTCCAGTGGCAATGTCAGCGAATGCAAACAATTTTCTGAATGTATCGTGGTTTATTAATAATTTTTACTTCATGTCACTTGAGATAAGGGTGGTTGCAATTTTGCTACAAAATGGGTGGGAGAGAGAGCTTCAAAATGTATGTTCTGTGAATCTAGTTGGTGGAGGACCATTCAGTTCGTAGAGGTAAATTTAAAACAAAATACACAATAAAATCTAAACATTCTTATTTAAGTCTTATTAACGTTTGGCTTTTGTCAATTAAAAAATTGCAATGTATCATACGCTTTTACAAATATTGCAACTATCGGCTATGGGTTTAATATATAAAACATTTCGTAAGAGAGGTGAAATGGGGAGACTAGAAAAAACGTACATTTGAATGAATGTACCTTTTCACTATGCAAAGTTTTTTTCTGGAGGAAATTCTCTCTTTCAGACACCCATAGATTAAATTCTATTGGAAGATGACGATGGTTAAAGTGTTCCCTTAGATGTCCATTCTGATTTGCCCGACTCAGAAACAGCATATGCATATGCAGTAAATTAGTATTGAATAGTAGGTACATGAGGTAATATGGAAGAAACGACACAGCACTGTCAAGGACATAGGTAGGTAGCTATTTCCACTATTTCCAGTTGGGTATTGAGAGGATGACGTGATTTTAAATGACTATTAAAGTTATTATTACTTTATTGAACTAGTTAGCGAGAAATGCTGATTTGCATGACAAACATAACACTATGCCAATTTAGTGCTAACTGTATGGTCTCATTTTATTAGAGCTTATTGATAAACAAGAGGCATTCCAGAAAATATACACATCATATAATATTAGGGATCATTAATATTTTAGTTTAAACTATTTTTATTACTGGCAACAAATATTAAAAAGGGGAGATTCTTTATTTGAAAGAAAGGCGGTGATTTGATAGAATTTTGGAACAGTTTTGTGTGTGAAGCGGGAACGAAGTGACATTGTATGGACAGAAATATAATATTATAAAGATTAATAAACCTTCAAATAATGTATCAAGTGGTTTTTTACTCCCGATTATTGATTGACTGTTTCGGTTAGTTAAGCTTACGCATAATTTGTGTTTTGGCGCTTTTGCTGGATCACAAGATCAAATTCGAGATCCTTTTTAAACTCATTGTATTTTATTATTTTATCCTCTTACTAGCAGACCGCCCTGCTTCGCAAGGGTATATGAATACCCTGGTATCAGTCATTTGTTTTGCAAGCGAAAGACTACGGCACCGGAAAGGTTGTTAATTCACGCTACTCGTATTCCCCTTTTCTGAAGTTTTCTTTTATACATAACATAACAAAAATAATTGGCAAGATTAGTCCAGGCGTCATTGAGTTATGCGATTACCAACATATTTCGCAATTCATTTTTATATTAAAGATAAGTTAGATAAAGATAGAAATGCGCTTAAAATACTTCCCAGAGACAGCCATCCAGTTATAGATCATGTTGTTAGCGTACAAAGCTGTCTGCATTTGAATACTCAGTGTGGTCTATATCTGTAGTCTGTACGACGCGACCTTGACACGATGACACCAACAAGTGAGGCTATTTTAGACAGCATTATATTTTCTTGGAAATTGCGACCTGCGATTCAATAACTGTATCTTTTATTTAGTACTCCCAAGATTTGTAACAGCAGTTTATAAGGTTATAGGAAGTTAAATTCAAATTATGTAAGTGTTTAGATCTTCTCATCTCATTTATTGGGTGTTTAGTAAATTAATTAAGTACATATTTTGTGTTTGTGTTGCACATTTTCTTTTTACAGATTTTCTTGTCTTTAATGGCAAAGGTTTGTGCAATTCCGTCGATATTTATAGTATAGGTCGAAACGTATAGGAATTATTCACAATCTCTTAAATTTTTTTTAATCAATGTAGATCAACAATTTTTGATATGCATATACCTAAGATATATGATGCCCTTGGCTTCACTGACTAACATATGTATTATTGACAGATCTATTTGTATTTTGAGATATCAAGAGTCCTATTTATGGATTCGACTTTGATATAGTAACAAGTAAATTATTTCCGTGTTAATTGTATTTGTATGCTACAGTATAACGTTTTGCGTGAGGCGATCGGTCATATGAGGCCGACTGAATTGTGATCGATCGACCGTGAAACTGATTAAATGATCAATTGGCGAATTGATCAGCAGCGGGCGCGCGTTCGCCGCTTATACGTTACAACAGTAAAGGTTGTTAGAGTTAATTTGTGATTACTTTGTTGCCTACCTTACTGTTCTACAGATAGGTTCTGTTTGTTTTTGTTTTAGAGAGATTTTTAATGATTTTGATACGAAAGAAGCCGCGACATAAGTTCTGTTATGTATTTTACGAGTAGAATCATCAACCTTTGTTACAGGAACTCGTTAAAACTGTACAACAATATATTTTATACCACTATTAGGTCTTTTATTACTATGTTATTTAACTAAAGCTTATGACTGAATTTACTGAAAGACTTAAATGATATATGTATAGCTAAAAAGCCCTTAAAAATCGTACTATGTAGGTTTTTATAGAGCTAACATAAACGAGGGCAATAAATATCTGTCACCATACCTTCCTACGTACATAATACATATACATATTTTAATGGGTTATATTAATTCTATAGGTAAGTCCTCTGCAAACGAGCAAGTTGAATGGAAAGATTAGTACATTAGTGTCGGCTCATTAACTGAAGAATTTTCCGATACCTTTCCGGTTACACCTTTATTGGAATCCGATATTTTTATCGGATTAAGGTGTTCTTACGTATTCTTACGTACTCAAGTAAGTACAAATGCTTGTTAACTTGTGTTATTCGAGTATTACTTTTTATAATAAAGGCTTCAATATACTGATTCCATATGCCAATAGGAACGCAGGTACCTACGTCGTCGTATAGAACTGAGATTTTCTATGAAAAAAAAAATGCGTTGGATCGACGATATCGTCCAAGTGGACGAGGGATGCAAGGACGAAAAACTATGCATCAACCGGGACAAAATGGTTATTGAGTGACTTGAGCAAAAGTAATCCGAAAATGGACCGTAAATGATATTGTCAATAAGTATAATTTATTCTAAAAACTGGGCAAACCAGGGCACGTATAGATTTTACTATACCTTTCAATGTGGTAATTAGAGAAACAATTATGACTGCATGATTGGTGCGGTGGCTGGGCAACTGGCTTTTTTTTGTGAGGGGAAAATCATCAAATGACTTCTCCCGCCCAGGGCCGGGCGGGAGGGAGCGTCAGATTCTTACTGACTAAAAACCCCCCTGTTCCTTCTCCTGCTCTGGGCCGACGTCGCGGTGCCTCATTGCGCTTACCCCGCAACCCGTGCAACGTGTCAAGGGTTCGATTCCCGCACGGAACAACTCTTTGTGTGATCGACAAATTGTTGTTCCGGGTCTGGGTGTCATGAGTATGTGAAATTGTATGTTTGTAACCGCACCCACGACATAGGAGAAAATTCCACAGTGGGACAACGTTTGTAAAAAAAATTGTAAGACAACAGGTGTGCGAACGCCGGCGTTCGGTTGGGACTTTTTAAAATGGTATTCTAGAACTTCTGGTAAAAATCCAAAGATTTAAACTAAGATCGGTCAACGCCTATTTTGGCTTTAATAACACTTTACCTTACCCAGGAATTAAAATTGATTTACCAACACGCGACCAACGCAGCAAGCAGACACTCAATGTGGTATCACAGTTTTATTGTTATTCCGTTGACTAGGTTTTTTATTCTTGTATTTTTTGCGAAGGCAATAGATATGAATCTTCACTAGTAACAGGGTACATTGAACTCTATGACTAAAGTAATGTACTTTTACGAATAAGAACACTATAATACAAGGTTATTATCAAACCGAATAGGTTTTATTTAAGAATTTTTAGAAGTTAGCCAAGGAGTATCAACATCTGAGGTTTTTAATTTTAAATGAGTAATTTTTATGGGCTACAAATTCCTAATTATTTTATAACTTTAATTGGTTTTTTCGTAATTTGGTATCATACAGAAAAAAAACTATATATACACATGGCTACAAATGGCTATTTTTTATAATAACAAAAATAGTGTGACGGAAAAGTGGTTCAAACTCTTTGAAACCATGACGTCAATGGATGGTTGTCAAACGTTGCCTAGAGATTGTAAATTTCGTCGTGAATTGTCAACACGAGTTGGTGTAATCGGTAAGGCGTGTGGATTACACCACAGAGACCCCGAGTTCGAGTCCCGCCGTAAACATGAAGTTTTTTAGTTGATGGAAGTTTTGTCGAACTTTCTGGAATTATTTGTGTGAAAGAAATGAAAAATTAAAGAGCGAGAAGGAGAATAAATAAAAATGAATTACGAAATTATTGGAAGGTTCTGGAGGCATGACGATCAAAAAGAATAACGAAATTGAATGTTCCAGAACTTGACCGGGGGTATATAAGCGGAACTGCGGCTCACCGCTGGCAGTTGAGTTCTAAGTCTAAAGCGATTCGGAAGAAAAGGAAGAAGTGAAAAAGAAGAAAAGTGAGTGAAATAGTGAAGTGCAGTGAAATAGTGAAGAGCAGTCAGTTAAGTGAGTTAAGTCAGCGTGAACGGCAAAGTTGTGTCAGTCGGCCGGACTCTTCTGGAGAGGAACGCCGATAACTTAACTCCGTGGACGCTGTAACTTAAGTGCAATAGAAAGTCTGAAAACCGGTATTAGTGTTTCATTTCATCCAATCCCGTAACCCAAGCCCGCATAGTCAGGAACGTGGCGAGGCACGTAACATTTGGTGTCAGAAGTGGGATTGGAGAAAAATGCCGCTAGTGCCGCAGGACGTAAGAGGAGTGAGTACCCGTGCAATGTCAGAAGCGCAGCGTGTGAGGGAAGAGGGTGCTGCAGCGCAAAC